TTCCTCTTTATCAGCTTACTAGTATCCATGGGGATCCATAGGGGGTCCCTCCTACACGTGAACCGTTCACATTAATAACTTAATTCCAGGGCCGTCCCCATACCCCGTCCGGTATGGGCGCCAAAATACATAAAGTCTCCATACCCCGTCTGATATGAGAGACCACGTTCCTAGTAGGGTTCCCTATAGACCCGATCCGTCTACCATCTTCCAGAATATCTAGTGAGGCTGTAGACATTATCCATTATCAATTCACATGCTTTTTTACCATTTTTCTTAATCTCAATTATCCAATCAAACACAAACACATAAACCAGTAATGGATACCAAATAAGGCAACACAACATTGAGTTCGCAATAATTCAAATCATAATAAATGAAACCGTGGTTCATGCATATGAAACCATAGAATAAACACATCAGGTACCATACATGACCGAAAATATATCAGATTCGGGCTCCATTAGCAACCTTAATTAATTATAGATATCTATTAATTCATAAAATACCGTTTTATCATTTATTAGGCTTTAATGTCGTGATAGGAAATAGGGTGAGAGATTCTTACTTGTTTTAGAGTCCGAAATCAGGTTCTCACTGCGCCTACGGGCAGTCTATAGATTCCCTGAATTTTTTTTTTCGAAAACTGAAACACACTTCCGGTACCTACACGTGTCCCCAAAAAATTCCAAATCAGACCCAGGGCCCTTTCGACCAATATCGAAATTCCAGCACGGCGGCTCCGCCGTGCTCCGGCGACGGCGCCGCCGCCCACGGCGGCGATCTACCTCGGGTTGGCCGTTTTTGGCCAAACTTGCATTGGTTCCTGTGATAAAACACAATTCAGCCAACCTTGCATTGGTTCCTGTGATAAAACACCCCTAGGGCCCTTGGTGGGCCAAAAATTTCCAGAAAATTGAGACTTACCGGTGGCGAAGCTCTCGGGTGCGGCGGCTCCTTCGGTGCAAGTTGCGATTCGTTGTTTTGCTCTGGTCAACCTGTAGAGAAAAGGACGGTGGTCACAGTGGTATAAAAATTACATCGAACGGGAAACAGGAAGGGCCTCATCGGAGGTAAAAATTGAAGAAACCTGCGGCGGCACCGCTGGACTTTGGCGGTGTTTTCTGGCCAATCGACTGGTGGTTTGTCTCCGATTTGGCCACAGGGAGGTTTGGTATCGAAAAATGAGCCAAGGGAAGAACTTTTACCTTGTTTGGTGGTCGAAAAGTCCTCTGGTGCGGCGGCGGGTGGCGGCGGCCGGTTCTTCCGGTGGCTGGGTCGTCTTCTCCGGCGAGGGTTCTGGCGGCTAGGGTTTGGGGTTGGGTGTGGATGCGATTATTTATAACTCTTCCCTTTTAATCTGAGCCGTCCATCATGATTTAATCTGGACCGTCCGATCGCAATTAAATTAGAAATAAATCTAGGTCGTCTATCGCGATGCGATCTGGGTCGTCTGTGTGTGATCAAATCTGGACCGTCTGCACGTGTGAGATCTGGATCATCCACGCACACCTTTGATCTGGGCCGTCCGATCGCCCGCACGCGAATCGCCAACGTGTCTCCTTTCTGCGTGGCTTCCTGCGTCAGCGTCCTTGCCACACGGCGTGTCCTGGTTGGCTGGGGCTGCTTATCGGGCTGCTGTCATGGCTGCTGACGTGACACTATTTTTTTAAATTGTGTTTTGACCCCCAGTTTTCGATTTTCTTTTCAAAAACACCCCGGAATCCAAATTTTCACCCAATCAATTTCAATGAAATCCCAAAAATAATTTACCCTATTTTATTATTATTATTATTTTTTTATTTCTATTAAATTAAATTAAATTAAATTAAAATCTTATAAATTAAATATTAAAATAGAATAAAATTAAATGAAAATTCAATAAAATTAAAATAAATAAATAAAATAAAATAAATAAAATATAATTTTTTTTTTGGGTGTTATAATGGTAGCGGATGAGGGTCAGATGGCTCCTTCCTTTCTTCCTGAGCTTGTTGGGCAGCGATGAGTCTCTCCAGCATTTTAAATAGTCGGTTAACATCTTCTCGAAACGAACCCTCTCGGGCTGCTCGGTTTAGTAGGGGGTCTTGCTCTCCTTATCTGTCTGTACTTGCATTTTACAAGAAATAGTTGAGTGGTAATTTATTATTTTTGGTGTTTTGTAAGGATTTTGTATAAGGTTTGGTTTCGAGAAATGTGATTTTGATACCAACTATAACGACCCCCGAATTTCAAATGAGACAAATTATAAATTTAGTATGGAAGCAAAATAAATAATTAAGAATTTACATTCCTTACATAATAACTGAAAATACCAAATAGAGCTTACGGGAATAACCATTCTAAAAGAACAACTAATAACCAAAAAAAATAAATTAAAAGTAAATAAACTGGACATCCTAGTCACAACCCTCTTGTGGATCGGGCTCTGAATTCTGGTCCTCTTGATCTGAAATAGTTAATGAAGAGTGAGCTACACTAATCCAGTAAGAATATTACGCTACTCACCGATATAGAAATGAATATTGGTAGAAATTATAAAAATAACTAATAGAGTTCTTAATTTAAGTAAATTCGTTTATTATAAATAAAATCATTTACCGCATACTTAAGATGACGAGATTTCTGAAAAAATAACCTATAAAGTCAATAACATAATAGATATCATAATTTTATATACAATAAGTTGAAACAACAACCTTCCTTTTTATCAGTTTACTAGTATCCATGGGGTCCATAGGGATGTTCCTACTACGCGTAAACCCTCTTTTTTATATTTTTAATTAACGAGCCGTCTCCATACCTCGTCCTGTATGAGTGCCAAAAGATACCATCTCTCAATACCCCGTCTGGTATGAGGGTGAAATGGGTTGTCTCTATATCCCGTCCAGTATGAGCGCCAAAAGATACCATCCCTCAATACCCCCTCCGGTATGAGGGTAAAACGGGTCGTCCCCATACCCCGTTCGGTATGAGCGCCAAAAGATACCATCCCTCATATTCCGTCCGGTATGAGGGTGAAATGGGCCGTCCCATAGTCCGTCCATATAAGCGCCAATTACCAACTTC